AGACCCTCGTCTTGCCCAGCCCTGCTGCAGTGATTGCATTCTCTCCACTCATACACACAGCTTGCATTCTCTCCACACATACATACATACATACACTTCACCAGGAAGTGAAGGAGGGTGAAACCTAGCCCTGATCCACAATTTAATTAGCCTGACTTATTAGTTTTGCTGAATGTATTGGCATAATAAAGTCCCATGTAAGACAGTGAAAGACAGTAGTGAGTGGATATCACTCAGTGGGTTAATGAAAATGCTGGCTAATGAAGATTGGTGGGAGAAATTATCATAAAGGCAAGAAATTCTGAGCAACAAATGTTGCTTCTTTATAATTTCTTCTATAGCCAGGCCAAACTGTCTTATCATTAGTCTAAGAAATTATTAGATAAAATGGGATCCGAATGTAGACATTATTTAGGGACTACAGCATTCTAGCAGTCAACTGGAAAATACTTATGAAGGACTTACCTGTTTGTACATGTAGAAATGAGCACCAAATTAAATCTTAAAACACAATCCTTGCCCATGAAGAACTCCTATTTTAAAATCTCCATTGACCTCCATCATCCACACATTCTATGAGCGCATCATTGAGGAAAAGCTAATTGTCTGGATGCCATCTTAAGGACTGGGGCTTCTAGAACCATAAAATGTACATGGTTGCAAACACACACATGCAGGTGCACACAGAAACATGTACACACCCCACCTCTACACAAAACATACCTGTTGTAACTTCTGACAACACTTCTGGATTTCTTCTAAGACTACTGAAGTTATAGCATAGGATCCTTTCAACTATCTCTGATTCTCTCTCTCTCTCTCTCTCTCTCTCTCTCTCTCTCTCTCTCTTTCTCTCTCTCTCTCACCTCTATCTATCTTCTATCATTTGTCACTTCTACAGTGATTCAGATCTCATATAGGGAAGCTTGCCTTCTACTAATGTTAGTATGCTACAGATCAGTGGTGATGAACCTTTCTCTTGGCACACAACTAATTTGCCCCAGCAGCCAAGCACTGACTATTCAAGTTTAATTGCAGTGTTGGCACTTGGTGATAAATACGTGAGCTTTGGGTTGCAATTTGAGCACTCAGTCTCTAAAAAATTCACCATTAAAAATGATATCCTTACTATTAAAGATAAATATGACTACAGATTTCATGTTGAAATATCAAGTTTGGTTTTGGGTAGTTCATGTATGATATGACTATACTACAGTAGATTGAATATTAGTGTCTGAAGTTCAGATAAGTATAGGATTCATCTTCATGCTGAGAAGATGGCCCTGAAGATGACTGGGTGCGATTCATTTAAAAACTTTTATTGATAAAAGAGAGATGTTCAAGGTCTGAGCCTAATGGCACTGTATCATTCAAAAGACAGATCAGTGAGAAAAATAGCAGAAAGAATAGTAAAAGAGAACATCTATTGACAGAGGAGGATAAATGAGATTTCCTGGAGGCCAGGTGAAGAATTGTTTCAAGGAGGAGTTTTACATGAATAGTCTGTTGTTTGCTACTGATAGGTTAGATGAGACTAGATTTAGGATCTATAGTATAGATTGGTAATGATGAAACTTTCAGAGACTCAGTGTCCAAACTGCAACCCAAAGCCACTTATTTATCACAAAGTGCCAACACTGCAATTAAATCTGAATATCTGATGCTCAGGTGCCAGGAGAATCTGCTCACATGCATACGGAGTGGACTTTGCATGCCCACTATGACACGCGTGCTATACATTCACCACCACTGCCACAGATCCTTTCCCTCCTTCTGTTCACCCTGAGAAAGGAGTAATTGTTGCTATGTCAAGATTTTGGTTGTCCTTGCTCACTGCATAAATGACTCTGGAATATATTTCCAAACAAACATTCATTTTTTTATTTTCCTTATTTCTGGGCTTAGTGCCACTCAAATGCTTGAGGGTACCAAATATCCCAAGTTTCTTGTAAATGAATGTAATAATCCTAAATTTGTTTATCATAGTCCCAGCAGTGATGAATTTGCAAGCCCATGCTTTTATTAAGAAAGGATATAACAAACGGTTCTTGAACATCTCTCGCTTCTATAGAATCACTTGTCTACACACTGTTGCTACTTGTTTGATGTACTCATTTATTTAATGGGCATTTGCCAAGTTTCTACTATCTTTAGAGCTCTTTGTTAGACACAGGAAATATAAAATAAGTAAAATACAATCTATCTTTTTAAGGAACCTACAGTCTATGGAGAAAACAAGCAAGCACATAACTAATTTTATATGATTTGATCAATATTATCGCAGAAATAGACACAAGCCAAAGTAAGAACTTAGAAGAGGACAGATCCCTTGCAGAATAGGAAAAAATCAATCTGGACCATATGTTGATAGAAAGTAGAAGTGTTCTAAGACAAAAAGCTATGAATTGGAAAGGGAAGAAATTACAGTGTCATTGCACAAAAACACTCCAGAACAATATATCCAGTAAAGGAGGTGTATACATCTGAGTGAAGGAAATAGGCTCAGGAGAAGTGCAAGGTCACAATCTAGAATGACACTGTGTACCCTATAGAGACTGGAGAACCATTTACAGACTTTATACATGACGGCAGCATGATCAGACTTTTACTTTACAAAATCACTCTGTATACAATATAGAAAATTGGAGAAAGGTAAGCTGAGAAACCAGATGACAAGTTAGGAGAAATAAAAGCCACAAGCTAGTAACAACCAGAGGAAATTTAGTAGCAAAAGAGATGGACTAGAGAAACATTTTAGGAGGTAAAACAAATAGGTTCAAGTGATTGTATGTGGAGAGCAAAGAAACAATGGAGGTGAAATTAACAAAGGAAAGAGTCAAACTTGACACCCAGAAGTCCAGCATGACAAACGGACAATGGCTTTGGCTTCCTGGACTAAGTAAAAAAGATTTGGAGGCAGGGAAAGGTTTGGAAAACAATGGAAGAATTTATTTTTAGAAATGCTGAATGTCAATAGCCTATAGAATATCCTATTGGACTTTAGAGGAGATTGCAGTTTCAGGAGAAAAATCAGTGCTAGACACATAGGACACATAGCTTTTCAGGAGTTGCTAATTTCTTTTTCTGTTGCATAAATTTAAGATGTACCTGATATTTTGATACAAATATGTGCAGTGAAGTGATGATCACAGCAAAGTATTACACAGGTATAACTGCTTTAAATAAAACTTTCCTGAAATTGCCATTTGAAATAGAAACCACACACTTGTATCTCATTTAGAAATGAATGTTAATTAATTAATTTTTTAAAAAGAAATGAATATGTAGAAACTCTGCCCAAATGGAGACTAACATTAAGGATTATTCAGGTACTAAGATAATTAGCCCTGTCTTCTAAGGTTAGTCCATATAATTACTCCAAATGAAATTATGTTATCATTTTTAATTTTAATTTTAAAGGGAATAAAACAGAACAATAAACTCTATTGAAATAGCAATAATACAGTAGGAAATCTTAAACAGTTACTATATTGCATATTGTCCTCTAAATAGCTGCTCAGACTACCATCTTATTAGGTTTGCAAAGTCAATCAAACAATAAACTGGTTATTCAAGGAGGAGGCTGTTCTCTCCCCAGCGCACCGCTTGCTGGCTCACAGGTAGGGAGGGATTTAGCTTCCTTCCTAGTTCTCCCCACCCGTGCTCCTTATGTTATCATTTTTATCTTTTTCATTAATCAAAACCAATCTCTCTTCTCCTTTTGAATGTATTCCTTTACACACTATTCTTACTATATTTCCTAATTAATGTAATCCAAATATCCATGGCCTTCTGTATTTAGCTCTGACTTTACTCCTGATATCTTAGGCAAAGGAGATACACTGTCCAGATCTGGGGTATTACTTTTCAATTTGTGTTATTGCAAATTTTTAAAATTTATACTAACTTTTAAAATTTATACTAAATGAAACAATTGTGTCAACCATTAAAATAAATATTTAAATCTGATAGTCATCCTACCTTTTTAAATGTTTCCTTCAAACAATAAGTACTGATCTAAAAGAATAATATAATTGCCTCATGATGTGGGCAGTTTCCCATTTTATAACATATTCATTATTGTCTTACACAAATTCTATAATTCAGAGAATGATGGATTTTTTTAAAAAATGACAACAAAAACTTGGTAAAAATCAAAACTTATTCCTGAATCTATTTAAAAAAATATTTGGATTTTAAAGTACAATCCAGTTCTAACCACATCACAATTGGTAGATACTTATACAAAGAGCTTATATGAGAATTATTGGACATTAAGAAAGTCACTTCCTGCATATGAATATGTGATTATGCTTCAAGATACATAAAGTCACCCACAGTTGAAAACACGCTAAAATAACAAAGATAGTTTAAAATGTTATTTTCATTATGAATTTCTATTCTATTTTAGGTAATTCTGATCTTCACCTACTTTTAAAAGAGATACATTATTTTAATTTAAATTTTTATTTCCTAAAATTCCTATATATAGAAAATTAAGAAAGTATATCACTGACAAATATAATAGTTTCTACACTCAGAAAATTCCTAGGAGGGCTTTACATTTTCATCTCAAAGAGGAAAATAAAATAGTCATGTTTAAATTCATGTGCCTAATTAAAGTAGATAAGAAGGATTTAAGATTTGTTCACTAATGTAAAAACTGTTATCATGAACATAGGAAAGATAAGAAAGATATTTCAAGGCCACTAAAAGAACTTCATAGTACTATTTTTCATTTCTCCCATATCATTTCTAAGTTGTCAAAGAAGGAAATTAATATTTTTAAGCAACCACCTAGTCATATAATAGTACACACCACCTAATTTAATCCTTTCAATCTACATTATTAGCTCCCATTTCATAAAAGAAAAAAGAAACATGTAGGCCTTGTGGTGGTTTTAAAATATGTTCAGGAATCCACAGCAAGGTAGAGTCCAATTCTTTTCCCTGAGTACAGGTGCATAAGGCAGTCACAGTACAGAGTGTTAGGTCAGTACCTGTAGCTCATAGTAGACACTGAGACTTCCTCCTTGCTTCCCCTGTGATGGCACACCTGGTGCACACTATCCTCCATGTCTTCAGCATACCCAGGCAGCCTGTATGAGTCACTCAGGTTTCCACAGTGCAATATCAGGTCCTGAGAAACTGAAACAACAGAAATTAACTTCTCCATTCTGGAGATGAGGAGGTCCAAGTCCTAGGTACTGGCCATTCCGGTCCTGAATCAGAGAAAAGTGCAGGTGGCCACCTTCTTGCTATGCCCTCATATGGCAGGGATAGAGCAAGCTCTGCTGCCTCTCCTTCTTTTTATAAGAACCCAGCCCTATCAGATTAGACATCAGCCCATATGATCTCATTAAAACTTTTCACCTCCTCCCAGCTCTTGCTGCCTGGAGTTGCATTAGAAGGAGGGCTGTGACATATGAATTAGGGGCTGAGCACTCAGTTAGTAGCACAGCCCTATGAACTGAGCACTCAGTTAGTAGCACAGCCCTATAAAAACAGATAACTTAGCAAGGACCTACCTGAGGTGCCTTGCCCTCAGCCACAGGAGTTTCCCAGTTTAGAAGCACTTCTTCCAGCTCTAATCAAGCCTTCAGAGGCCTGTGGCCCCCGCTGGGATTTTGAAAGATGCTGAACCTGAACCATCTCGTTTAGCTGACTCTAAATATCTTAATTCTCAGAAACTGTATGGAAAAAAATCAGCATCTGTTATCTAACAGTTAAGTTTGGGGTAACTTGGAACAGTAGTAGATAATAAATATAAGCAGTTCTCAGTGAGTAAATGATAAAACAGGTCAGAAGCCAGATTTTTCTGATGAGTGAAACATATACTCTTTTATCTACCCATGTGGTTTCCTCAGTATTTATATAAAAGTTCATCCATCTGTTGTGACGCTTTATACATGCCACCTCAGTTAACCCTCAAAACTACCTTGAGAAATTTAGAAGTTCACTTTTAATTAAAGAAGTTTTAAGTAAAATTAAAGATAAGATATGACATTACAGAGGTGGTTCCACCTCTAGAGAGTGCTCTCATCTGTCTAATCCACTGTGACCACCCTGATATACGTCATATCATCTCTGGCCCAGACAGCCTTGGTGACCAACTGCTTTCCTGCTTCCCAGTTGTCTTCAGTTTATTCTTCAGCTGGAGGAATGACTTTATTAAAGTATAAATCAAAAGATGTTACTCTCCTACTTAAAATTACCTGTAATTTCACATGATTCTTTTTGATGGTTACATTTAATGTATCTAGATCAGGGTGAATGATCCTAATCACATGGTCATTTAATTGGTGACAACACATTGCAGTCACAATACCATGCATAACATCATCTGTCTTCTTCCACTTCCTTTCTCTTTCCCCAGATGGGATTTTTAATAAACCTATAAACCTATCTTAGGTCTGACCTCAGGGCCTTTACAATTTAAAAGCCAAGTAAGAGGATGAGCTCAAAGGAATGAAAAGTGAGCTCACTTTCCTAAGTTAGAAATCATCTCCAGAGTATAAACACTAAGAAATAAAGGCAGGACACTGAAACTGTTAAAGCACAGACAAGAATATAACTAAATATATTTAACATTTGAATAAAGCATTCCACACGTACTATAAAAGTAAAAGTATCTCTATTTACAAGTAACCTAAACAAATCTGAGTTTATTTATACCCCTAATTTCTCCAGCCAAATCACATTAGATACCAACATCTACATCAATAGACCAGTTCACCTTTCTGTTCTGCCTTTCTTTCCTGCCACATAGTGTCTCAAATTATCTCCCTGCTGAACTGGCTATGGGCCTGAACAGTAGACAGTTGCTTGTTAATGAGCCACACATCCATAATGTACCGGGTGTTCAGACTTTGTAACTTTACAACGCAATTCTGCCTTTCCTGGCAACCACTGCTGATATGCTCACTCAGCCTCCACACTTTCCTTCGACTTTGTTTCATCTTTCCCTGACTTTCCAAGTAAAAATGTCCATTTCTCAATCCTATATGTTGTGTACTTCTAATAATCCACTAAGTCCTGGTATTTTTTTATTCTGTCCACAAATCCTTCTGCCTTACATTTGCTTAACATAGAAGAATAATTTACCTCAGAAATCTTGTTTCTTGACAGTGGACTAAGGAGACAATTTCCTCTAGGAAATTCTACTCATCTAGGAATCTCCAGACTAGTGATTAAGAATCGTCTTCATGGGGCTGGGGATTTAGCTCAGCGGCATAAGTGCCTGCCTTGCAAGCAGGCAGTCGTGAGTTTGATCCCTGGTAAAACAAAAAAGATAAAACAAAAAAGACTAAAAAAAAAAAGTCTTCATTTTTAAGTGTGCTTAACTGTAGGTATGCTGTAAAAAGAAAACTAACTGTACAGGAGACTTGTTTCCTAGACAAGTTCAGGGTTTTTATAACTTTAAGGTAAAAGTTATATATAATCAAGATTATACTTGAAAGTCTCTTACAAAACCCACATTGAAGATTAATATACATATCTCAATAAATCAATCACACTTTTCCTTCTGGGGTTAGACTAAGCGATTCTTTTTGATTTAACACAAATGAAAGAACTGGCTTGTGTTTGGAGTCCAAATTGTGTTAATAAATGATCACTGAATGTTGTAATCACAATCTCACAGTAAGATCTCATGACATGGGTCCATAAAAGCACTTGAGAAAGAAAACAGGTTAGCATCTCTCCCACTCTGAGCCATGGGTACACTAAAGAGAATGGTGAAATCACCTCTTCAGTCCTCTCTGTCTCAACTCACTGTCTTTCCTTTCCTCTTCCTGTTAAGTTTGTCTAAATTATACTCAGATCATGGGAGTCCAGAACATTCATCTAAGGCCCCAGCTGAATGGTAGAAGCCTGAAGGAGAGAATACCCTCTTCCTGCTCTTAGACATAACCAGGATGTACATGTGACTTACTCCAGGTTGGAATGGATGAGCACCATGTCTGTAAACAAATACAAATGTATTTGTATTTACATTTGCATTATGTAATAGACATTAAAATAAGATCACCTATATTTCTAAATATTATGGCTATTCTATACATAAAATAGCTTGAATAATTATAATCCCAACTCCAAGTCCATAAACCAAAATAAACAACTAATTGTTGAAGACAAAAGCATAAAAGTGGTAAGACAAGTTACCACAACAAATAACTGTTGTATCAAATATATAACTGAAAATCTAAAAGATCTATGTATCAGCAAATATGCCCAGATTTTTTAGTATGAAAAGGCATTGTCACGTGATACCCAATTTTGTCTTAGTCTATATCCTTAAGATAATTTAATTGTACTCTCTCAGGCACTCAAGAAATCAGAAATATATATTTAAATAATTTACCCATTACTTACTAAATTTGGGATAAAAAAATCTTTCTTTATAACTCATGTCTAAAAAGCAAAAGTTAGATAAATTTGAAACCTGGTATTTAAGGAAGGAGCATCTTCTCCTTGGAAGGAAGGTAATTAGATGTTAATTGGATGATTGGAAGAGAGACCTGCTGATTTCCAGGCAAAGTGAACGTGTCCATTTAGAAAGAAAATGATTGTTCACATCGATTTAGATTGGACACCTGGTCAGCCATTTAGAGCATCATGTTCCAGTCTCAAAAAAGGGCAACATAGGCTCAAAATGACCAACGACATATACAAAGCCATGATCATTTCATTTTCTGCCGGTAATTCTGTAAAAACTAGAGGCGTAGAAAATTAAAGGCTTTTATTGCAGGACAGATGGGTATTCATACTGGGAAGCCATATAGCTGGTCCACACAAAACGGATGAACACTCCCTGATTTTCATAATACTGCACTGAAAGACACAGTATATTTCCTGGCTAAGTAATGAAGCCACTGGAAAGGGAAGGATTTCTTTCTAATATTTTTCCAGATAGTTAAATTATATAGACAATTTCCATTTACAGTTAGGTTGGCTGTGCTTGGCATGCCTTTTACTGGGATTCATTATTATATTCAGCTTTAACCTCCTGGAGGAGCCAGGGGAGAAGGGCTGTGTCCACATGGCTTTGCTGTCTGCTATCTGTTAATCCTGCCTAACTAGGGCAACAGCAGAGTTGTATTATTGCACCTCTGGGGCCACTGTATTTATATTTATCACAAGATCCCACTGATGGTTCCGGCTGTGGTTTGAATGTACCACCCCCAAATTCATGTGTGGAAATTTAATCTATAAACTCATATGCTGATAACATTTGAAGTGAAGCCTTTGGGAGAGCATTAGGATTAGAAGATGTCATGGGATGGGACTTCCATAATGGGATTACTGGCTTTGTAGAAAGAAAAATTTCCCTCTCTCCAAGTAATGCATTCTGCCATGGGATGTAGAATTGAAAGGCCCTCTATAAATGCTGGCACTTTAATATCTGACTTTTCAGATTCTAGAACAAGGAGGAATAAATATCTTTTCTTTTTCAGTTACCTAGTCTGTGGTGTTCTATTACACCAACAGAAAATGAACTAAGGGGGCTGGGGATTTAGCTCAGCGGCATAAGTGCCTGCCTTGCAAGCAGGCAGTTGTGAGTTTGATCCCCGGTACCAATAAAAGAAAATGAACTAAGACAGCTCCAAAATCTTAGCCTGGGAAACATTAAAAAAGATTCTTAAGGGTCTGGGGACATAGTTCAGTGGTAGAGTGTTTGCCTAGCATGCCTAAGATCCTCAGTTCAATTTTTAACATGAAGAAATTTTAAAAAGAGTCTTCAGGTCCTGCTATGATTCTGAGTTAGCAGGTTTGGGAGAAGGATTACCAGAAATCTAGTTTTTATGGAGGATTCTCAATAAGAAAACTTCCATTTGGTAATTACCACTTAGACGATCAAAAGGCATCAAAATCCAAAGTCATAAATCTATAAGGTGGAATTTAATATTTTGGCAATGGAAATAAAAATTTTTCAAGGAACTCACACATTAGCAGATGCTTATCCATCTTAACCAAGTTGCGATAGTTTAAATTTCCATGTAGCAGAGTGCAAGCGGAAGGATGCACATCAAGCCCCAGCCAGCCCTGCAGCCTTGGCACCTCACTCAGAATCTGGTAGGGCCCCACCCAGTGTCCCCCATCAGCTGCAGACCTTCAGGTAGGTTCCTATGGACCTGGTTGGACACCACTGAGTAACTGCAAGTGGCTGAAGAATCATCTGAGCACAGTAGTACGAGCCGAAGGTGCTCACAGCAACCCACACTCAGCCATGCAACCTGGGCAGCTCTCCTGGAACCTGGTAAGGCCCCATCCAGTGATCTCAAGAAGCTGTGGAGCTTTGGTGTGCCATGTGGCATGAGCTGAAGGCCTGCATAGCATACCCCATCTAGGTGTTCAGCCTTGATATACCACTCAGAACCTGGTGCAGTCTGCTTGGCAACCTCAAATAGCTGGGAAGCTCCACAGTGCCACATCAGGTATGTTGAAGGCCCACCCAGCACACTACCCACATGTGAGGAGCCTTCAGGAGCTACTAGGGACCTGGTAAGGCCTGACAAATGACCTCCACTCAACTAGGGAAACTCTCTGCAGTACAAACAGACATCCTCAACCCAGGAAGCAACTGAGATCTTGCATTCAGCTTCGCCAGGGGAATAGAGGAAAACGACAAAATGAAAGAGCACAATGGCATCT